TGATAATATAAAAATGACTTAAATATATTTTTAGTTCTCAAATTTAAAATAAATTTATTTTTAATTTCTCAAATATAAAATTATTATTTTTAATTTATGTTATTTTTAAAAATTTTGTATTAATTTTTCAAGTCACTAATAATATATCTTTAAATGATAAATTAAGATAATTATACAACATCAATTGGATTTAATGTTATATTTTTTACTAATAGAAACACTAATAACATGATTTTATATTATAACATTTGACAGATTCTTTAATAAAATTTAAATATAACAAGTAAAATAAATTTTTGAAATTACAAAGACTAAGAAGATTAATTTTAAATTTGAGAGATTAAAACTAATATCACTTTAAATTTAAGAAACTAAGAATATATTTAAGTTTATAAAAATTATATATTTTTATTGATAAATAATTGACTACATGCAGCAATTTATTATTCAAAAATTAAATAGAGTAAGTATTTTTTTTTTTGAGAAATAGAGTAAGTATTAGTAGTATAAATAGTTTTACATTCATATGGTTAATAAATTTGGACTTTCATAATAATTACTTATTTTAGATTTATATATAAGTAAAAATATTTAAATTCATAAGGTCAATTAAATTTATTTAATTTTATTAATTTCATATAAAATTAAACTTTACTTTTCAAACTATCTTTAATAATATTTATTAAAAATGATAATCACAATTAATCTAAGGAGTATTTTTAAATAATAACATTAAATAGGGTAAAGCTAGTTAGAATTTACTTATATTTAAATTTTAAAAATATAATATTTCTAAAGAGAATATCTTAAAAATATAATAATAATAATTTTTAATTGATTGAGAGTAAAAATAATTTTTAATCTTTCTATCCTATAATAAGTGTTATTTTAAGTTATTACACACATATTAAGAAAAACTAATAAATAGATAAAAGAAATTTTTTTTATTAAAAATGATACGATGTAAAATCTATTTTTTTACATAATATTATTAAAAATATAAATACAAAATCAATATGATACTTATGTTAAAGATTTTTTTTCTAATACAACATTTATTGTGGTTATGATGGGAAGGAGGAAGAGTATTAATTATGGATTATCTTTGAATCTTAATTTAAATTATGTATAGACAAATTAAATACAGATATTATTGTTACTGAAACTAAATTTAAATTATGTATAGATAAATTAAATTCAGAGATTATTTCTACCGAAACTAAAATGCACAGTTAAAGAACCCAAATGTAATTGAAGTGATTATAAATGTAGGATAAAGGAACCAAGAGCAAAAACGTGTGTAGGTAGGCTAGCTATGATAATCCAATCAGAATGAGAATAATTTTGAGTGCAGGAAGGAGGAATGTATGTAAGTAGTTAGTAACCGAGAGGTGAACCCTCTAAGCATGGCCCATTTCTAATCATATGCAAAGGATGAAAGGACACCCACCACCAGCGATCAGAACTACCAAATTACCCTTTGGTGGAGCAGGAATAGTTACGATGATGATGCAGATGAAGTGCTGTGGGTCAAACAAACAAAACATACACCCTGCAACATATCTCACATTACATTATTAAATATATAGTTGGTGGGGTTTTTTTTATTTTTTATTTTATTTTCTGCAGCGGTGGGCCCATGTTATTTTGTTCTGAATCTTTGTCTGTCACCACATCTCTCTCCCTTGTGTTTGTATTTTGCAATCTTCAACTCCACTGTGGCACAGAGTAGTTGTGGTATTTTGTATTGTATTGTATTTGGTGTTTTGACTTTCCCATTCCCAAACCAAACCCCTCCAAGTCTCCAAACAAACAAAACAATAGCTATCTTCCAACCCAAGTTGTCAAATGTTCCTCTTTTCTCTAATTCTCCAATGGGCAACCACCAAGGTGTCATCATTTCTTCTCTCCTCCTTTAATGGTTTTGCTTTGCTTCCTTTTTCTTAAAAAAAATCAATTTTTTTTCTCTCTCTCTTTCTCTCTCCAAAGTCTTACCTTCCTTTCTTCTAGTTCTCTTGTTGAGCACAAGCTTATGCTTGGTAGGTTGTGCCGTTGAGGGGGATGGACCCTAAACTCCACTGAAGTTTGATGGTAAGAACCAAAGGGGTCTCTTTACCTCTTTCAGTGCTTCCCCTTTGTCCCCAATTTCACGCTGTCTCGCATTTAGGTTTTCCCCTCTTTAGACTCAGCAGATAAGATTTAGGGCATTTGCTTTGATTTGACTTGATTCTTGGCAATTTTCGATGGGGAGCTTCTCATCCTCCACATGGGTCTCCTTGATCACTCTATGTGATTGATTTTGTTCCTCCACCGCTTGCTCGTTGTTGGAGAGAACATGCTTCAAATTTCCTTCTTTTAAGTTTAATTGAACTAGGAAGTAGGAACAGAAGAGCTTTGTGGGACTGGATTCTCTCGAATCTCGTGTTGGGTATGGCGTTTGAAGGATAAAGACTCGATTTTTGGCGGTGCTGGTTGTGGAGTTATCTTTGTTGGAGGAGGTGGATTTGAAGCACAGAAAGATGGACAGAGTTATTCAACCTCCTTTGGTAATTGGCTTATTCGCTTTTCTTTTCCCTTTTTGTTTTTACCAGTTTGTATGCCATTTCATGTTTAGTTAGTGAGGTGAACCAATGCTGAGTTGGTTTGACTTACTTTTTGTATGGTCATTTCTTTGGAAAGGATTGTAACTCTTGATGTTTAGACCATCGGAGTTTGGTCTTCTTGTGTCTATTTTACTGACGCAGTTGTTGATTTTTGTCTTGTCCTAATGTGTTGTTTAGACCTGCGGAGTTTGGTCTTCTTCAACAATGACTTCTTTATAGGGTGTTGTGGGGATGAAGGGAAAGACTTTAGGAATCGATGCTTGGAAGAATCTGTTGGTTTTAAGGAGCTCTAATTTTGTTCTATTACATGCCACTACTTACTGAACAAAATCTCATGGGCTAAGACTCTAATAGAAGAAATGTTCAGTAAGAAATGGCATGTAATAGAACAAAATTAGAGCTCTAGCCCTGTATGTTGCATTTGAACCTCTGCGAAACATGGGCCAACTACAATTTGTGTCACTTTCTTTGAATCTCTAAAATTTGCTACAGGCTTTCGGGCCATAATAAATGAGAAGTCTTACAATTGAATGTCGTAATCGAGGTGTTTAGATAGGGATAATATTTTGTATAATCTCACTGCCAAATTCTCAGTAATGTGAAACCACTCGTGCTTTATCCTAAAAAGGTAAGCACGATCTTCATCCTGAATTTTGTGGATTGTTGGACATAAAACTAATAGATTAAATTGTCTTCTAACATGGACCAATCATTTCTGAGGCTCGGGGTCCATGTACTATGTCAAATATCCAGGGACCTGATGATGTTCTCATTACATAAGACCTTCAAATGCCTTGTCATACTGTGTGTGCCAACTCATGCCTTTCGATATTTATCCAAGGACCTGAAAGATTGCGCTCACTAATTAATGCTAAGTTATTAGTCAACAAGGTGCTCTGTTTGCTGCATCTCAAGAGTATTATCCGTATTATATGCTGGAACATCAATGTCTCATGTCTGAGTTCATGGATCATAACTTCACATACTAAAGGAAAAAAAAAAAGGGATATACTTACTTTTTAATTAAAAGTTTAGCTAAACTAATTTTCTGTTTTAAATGTGTTTGTGCAGGTTGATACAACTGCATGTTTATGCAGAGTAGATACAGGCCTAAAAACTGTTGCTGGAGCAAAGAAGTATGTCCCTGGAACAAAGCTCTGTCTTCGACCGGACATTAAACCATCCATTCACCCAACAAGAAACAAGCCAGCACGAGGTGACAGAAGCCGCAATCAATCCCCACTACTTCCAGGACTCCCTGATGATCTGGCTATTGCTTGCCTAATCCGAGTCCCGCGATTTGAACACCGTAAACTTCGGCTTGTCTGCAAAAGATGGTATCGTCTTTTGGTTGGTAACTTCTTTTACTCTCTCCGCAAGAGTCTTGTAATTGCAGAAGAGTGGATATATGTCATTAAGAGAGACCGAGATGGGAAAATCTCATGGCATGCCTTTGATCCTGTGTACCAACTGTGGCAGCCCCTGCCACCTGTTCCTAAGGAATACTCTGGAGCTCTTGGTTTTGGATGTGCTGTTCTCAATGGCTGTCACCTGTACTTGTTTGGTGGGAAGGACCCACTAAAGGGGTCCATGAGACGTGTCATCTTTTATAGTGCTAGGACAAATAAATGGCACCGTGCCCCGGATATGCTTCGTAGGCGGCACTTTTTTGGCTCCTGTGTCATAAACAATTGTCTGTATGTGGCTGGTGGGGAGAATGAGGGTGTGCACCGGTCCTTGAGATCAGCTGAAGTGTATGATCCCAACAAGAATAGATGGTCATTTATTTCAGATATGAGCACTGCAATGGTGCCTTTCATAGGAGTTGTCTATGATGGGAAGTGGTTCCTGAAGGGACTCGGTTCTCATCGGCAGGTTCTGAGTGAGGTCTACCAGCCAGAGAATGATAGCTGGTACCCTATTTATGATGGAATGGTTTCTGGCTGGAGGAACCCTAGCACTACCCTCAATGGAAAGCTCTACGCCTTAGACTGCAAGGATGGCTGCAAAATTAGGGTTTATGATGAGGTCACTGATTCATGGAGCAAGCATATTGACAGTAAAATGCATTTGGGGAGCTCGCGGGCTTTGGAGGCTGCTGCGCTTGTCCCCCTGAATGGGAAACTCTGCATCATCCGGAATAATATGAGCATTTCTCTGGTTGATGTTTCAAAACTTGAAGATTTGAGAGGATCTTCTGCTGAGCAGTTATGGGAAACTATTGCTGGGAAAGGACAGTTCAAGACCTTGGTCACAAATTTGTGGTCTAGCCTTGCTGGGAGAAGCCGACTCAAAAGTCACATAGTTCACTGTCAGGTTCTTCAGGCTTAAAGTTCTAAAGAATCTATGATGAGCTTTGGTCATGAGTTGCAGTATCTCATCAAATCTTGCAAGAACACTATGGTGCAGTCTATTGTTGCTTTCCATCTCAAACCCTTGGCATCGTGCTCATCACAAGAGGTGAAACATAGATGAGATGTTTTACTGATCATATAGTGTTACAGATATTGATACATAGTGGTTACATTTTGAAAATTTGAGTAGGCTGCTTACCATATAATGGTTTATCATTAGCTTTTCTTGTGTTGCTGCAACCGATGTATGACTAGTTTGTTGGACGGGGGAGAAGAATAATACTTCGTGTCAGTTTGGTTTTCCTATAAAATTGAGGGTGAAAAATTCAAGAATTATTTTTGAAAATAATTTTTCTCATAAAAACTAATCTATGAATTTTTCACCCTCATTTTCTGTAGTGACACACCCAACTGGCTATGAACTCTTAATATTATATACAACTCTTTGCTTACATATTTATATATGAGCACAAGTAGAATCAAGTTTACGGTTGAAAAAATTTAGGGTTTCCTTCAGCTTGTACTATGGTGAAACACTGCTAGTCTGTTAGTGTTTGGGTTAAAGTTTGCACCCTCAAGCCTGCTTTGAGTGTGCAAACATAACATATTCTTAGTTTAAAGCTATAAAGCATGGTTTTTAGTTTAAGACTATAATTTATGTAAGAAAAAAATGTTTTTTCTTTTGATCAAACCATGATATAAATTATAAACTACTATAATCTAAACATGAAATGTGTTGTGTTGCCAAAGTCAAACCGTTGGGGGCGGTGTTGTGGGTGTAGGGTGGTGCCTTGTTGGTAGTGGTTTAAACCTAAACTTTTTGTGTGAACTAGACTTTATGATTTCTATGACGACTGTGCTGTAAAAGACACGTATCAAGCAAGCCGAAATTACACGTATCAAGGTTAGGTGCTTAAGCAAGTTTAGCCGAAATTGTCTCGATGAGTGGATTATTACCAAAAGATGATCATATGTCTTGCACGTATACTTATGATTAGCTTTTCGGGCATTTTTCCTTCTAACATTTGTTTATGATTTGAACTTCACTCTTTTCACTAGGAGTGCTTATGATTAGCTGCGATTTATCATTTTAAAGAAATTTCCTAAAAGGTTTTTAATTATAACAGATCTCAATTTTGTCTGGGAACCATATCAAGTGAGAACCTAAAAAAATAGTAATCAATTAATCATTAACGTGGAATCATAATATAACTATGACAAAAATTTAAGACATGATGCCTGAAGTACAAATTATAATAAGGACGTGCACAATGCACCATTTAGTGCGGTTTTTAATCCGAAACAGTAACAATAAACGTCACTAACTAGCCTGATTGTAAATAAGATGATCGTGGCCTTCCTTAATTGGTACTGTAGATTTTAGGTGCTCACTTTGAGAGTATTGATAATCTAGAAACAAAAATTAACATTTCCATCTACTTATAATGTGTTAGTAGTGTACTTCCTCTATTTTTCTTCATAGTTATTTTATCAGTATTTGTTGTTCATTTTTCATTATTACTTTTTTAAAATTAATAACTTATTATTATTATTTTTTATTTATCTTTGATAATTAATGTATATTTACCAAATAATATGTCTATTTATTTTTTAATATACTTATTTATTTTTCATTTATTTAAAGAATATAATAAAAAAATAAGTAATAAATATTTTAAAAAATTAAAATATAAATTTGTGTGCATAACTTTAAAGATAATGAAAAATAAAATGAAAGGAGGACTTGTTTTCACGTTAAAAGCTAATAACCAATGAGAGTGGAATTGGCGTTCAACATAGAAAAGTGAGAAACATGTAAGAGTATTACAACAAACATACTGTACCTTATTCGTCATGATTGCAAACCTTGGCTTGTGTGTAGTGCCTGATAGAAAGATACAGTCATTCATATTTTGCGTAACTGCATCAAAAAACAAAAGGGAAATAAATAGTTGAAGAGCCAATAAATAGATAACGATTAAACAGAAGTGGGTGAGCACAAGAAAAAAAAAAAAAAAAAAAAAAAACTGGGTACGAAAATACTTGGGGATTGTTCGTTTACTATTTTAGAAAATATATTTCTTTAATTAAAAATAAAAATAACAATAAATATTGTTTGATAACACCTTTTTTAAAATAGTTTTGAAAATCATATCTATGTTTGAGTTTAAGAAAACTAAAATTTGAGACCAGCTAAAAGATGTTGTCATTATGATTTTTTGTGTGGACAAGTGTTGTTCTGTTGAGTGCTTATACTATTGTTTTTCAATTAAATTTAGAGGTTCATCTCAGTAAATGATCTTGAACTTTAATATACGAATTATAAAGATGAAAACAATACAAACATAAAATGTATTGTCCCTAAGTTAGTCACTTTTGTTTTCTAAAGTTTTCATTCACGTAATCTCATTCTCCCACATAATTTTGTTGACCAGTGGTTCATGATCCACCTTCGTCGCTGACTGCCCAACCCAACACCCATATTCTATTGTTGTTGCCGATGGTGGAAGTGCAACAACCCAAACCTTAGTGGTTCTCAATCACCCAATTTCCTTCTTCGAACCAAAGATGTCACAGTAGATCTTTGTCATCATCGTTGCACAACCATCATGCAAAACTATTGTGAGCCATCAACTGCTAAACCTCTTTAGAATTTTGATACCTAAAACATGTAACACTTATTTGATGTGACAGATCACGTACCATAGAACTAAAAAAACATAATAAAAAAAATTGTATGGAAGTAACTCATTGTATTGAGTAACTTGAAAAGATGATGATTCAAGAGAGGAGATTTCATGTATTTATAAGATTGAAACGGAAATAGACTAATATTAACTGACTAACTAAACTAAACTACCACAATTAATTAAAAACTTGTAGCATCTCCTTGCACGTTGGTGGTGGTGGCGGTGAAAATTACCATAACCAAATCAAGAATAGATGAAAATAATTAAACTCAACTAATTTGATAGGCATGGTTCAATAAGTATCATAAAATTAACAATTAAAGATTAATTTGTATTAATAAGATATAATTTCAATTAACTATATTATTTTAACATTGTAAAAATCAATTTTAAAAATATCATGTGGATCCTCATGTCCTAAAGTAGGTCTTAAAACTCTAAGGGAGGGTAATTAGTTCCCCTCCCCCTCTTGACTCTTTAGAAAAGAAAAAAAAACAAAATTTGTATATTATAATAAATATGATTATATTGAAAGGTTTATTAAAAAAATTAATACATATTTATATTGTTAATTATTTTATGATTTAAAAGAATGATATTCATAAATTAGATAAATAACATAATGTATTTAAGAATTATAATTTATTATTTATTTAAACTTATTATTGAAAAAAAAACTCAATTCCCTCTTAATAAGATTCTAGATCTGCCCTTATTTAAATCACTCGACTAAAATACTTAATTTTTTACCGGTTAGTTTGAAATTGAGAATAGGTTCACAATTTCTGTTCTCATTGTTGAAAATCAATAGAGAAAAGAACCACTTTGTGTCTCATAAATTTTTAAAATTAAAAAAATATTGAATTGATAGTTGTATGTGATTATAAAAAAAAATCCTTAAAAATTGAAGGATATAATAGTTTATTAAAAAGTGGAGACAAAAAATAATTATACATTATATACATATTCCCTTTATAATAGATATAAATGAGAAATTAATTCATTTCTCCTGCTTTAATTAACTCCAAAAAGCTGAAAATTGGGTTATTTAACTAATCTCATTGTATAAACCATTATCTTTCACAAACAATGTAACACCATTGCATTTAGTCTAATTCTATCATATTAATGTATAAATTGCAGTTTGTTTGGCTTATGATTTTGTTACATACATTGAAGATAAGAAAAACAATTTACAAAAAAGACTCCAAAATCATGTGAGGGTAGTTTATGTTGCCATGCATATACCCCATAGGAATGGATTGCATGAGTGAGCCACTAACTAAAAATGTTACTTATCACTTACCAATGAGTCAAAGGTTGTGGAAAAAGATCGAATTTCAATTTTCAATAAAGACCTCATCAGGATTTATTACTAGGTGAGTATAGGATAGGATCACCATCATCAGGAGGAGAAACAGGGAAATGACTTTTCAGCTAAAATAAATTAAAAAAAATTATTGAAATAAATTAATTAAAAAACTAATTATCAAAATAAATTGTTTTTACCAAGTAGGAGAGAGAGGGTGAAAAAATGTTATTACATGTGATATTTTCTTTAGACAAACTATCTTCGTTCATGTTGCGTTTTGTGTTGTGCATAACATGCATGTATAAGGGAAAACGTGACCATGGTGGACGTTTTCTTTACAAATTTCTTCAAATAGAAGATGTCACCATGCTAGACGTCTTGTAGCACAAACACTGGTACGAGTCTTCCCTGGTGGACAAAGCCTCCATAATCCACACCTACCAAATAGTCTTTCACAGATTCTCAGCAAGCCTCTCCTATGTCGAGGCACACAAGCTGCAATCAGTCTCCCATGTCATAACTCACATACCCGAGCAACTACACCACCTCCACACGACGCGCTCCCCTCACTTCCTCAGCCTCAACATCGTTAGCTTACTCAAGGAGATTGACTTCGGCTCTGATATCATAATCGGAGTCATTGACATCGACATCTCCCCCGAGAGCCAGAGCTTCAGTGACTGCGATCTCGGCCTTCCTCCCCCAACTGGAAGGGCTAGTGCGTCATCGGAGAACACTTCCCTCCCACCTCATGCAACTGCAAGCTCATCAGAGCCCGCTACTTCTATGCCAGCTACGAAGCCACCAACGACAAAATGAATAGCACCCTCGAGTATCGCTCCCCCAAAGACTCTGATGGCCACGAAACCCACATCGCCTCCATCGCCGCTGGAAGCTACGTCTTCCTGGCCTCCACCATGGGCTACACCAAAGGAATGGCCGTCGGGATGGCTCCCAAGGCTCGCCTCGCTGTCTACAAGGTCTGTTGGAATGCTGCTGCTATGACCCCAACATCCTAGCCGCATTCAATGTTGCTGTGGCCGACGGCGTGGACGTGATCTCCCTTAGTGTGGGGGGCGTGGTGGTGCCCTACTACCTGGACGTCATCACTGTGGGGGCCTTCAGAGCGAGTGAGATTGGCATCTTCGTCTCTGCCTCCGCGGGGAACAGCGATCCCGGTGGCCTGATAGTGACGAATGTGGAACCTTGGGCATTGGTGTATGTGGCAAAGAAGTCATCAACCCAGGTGACAATTTCTTTGAGTTTTTGGTCAAACTAGCGCAAATCACAGAGTAAGAAAACGTCACTTCGGTTGACGTTTTATGCAGCATTCCTCAAGTACGGAAGTCGTCAACATTGTTGACGTTTTTTATGTAACATGCAACACCGTTTCTGCACTTTTTCATGTGGTATGGGGGCACTTCTCAAATGTTTAAGAATCGTCACTTTCCATGAAGTCTTATGCATCGTACGTGACAGAAATTATTTATTTTGGCAATTAGTTTTTTTATTAATTTATTTCAATAATTTTATTTATTTATTTATTCTGATACAAAATTCTAGGGAGATCCTAAGAAAGAAAAAGACAGAGGTCCCAATCTTAAAATTTCGCTTCCTAAAATACTGCTTATGTGTCGTGTATGTGTAAAGTGAGAAGATTTTATTTTAAAAAAAATAAAGTGTAATGATAATTGTTGATTAAAAATTTAATGATAAAAATTATAATTAATTTTAAATTTTATTATACATATATTTAATTTTATTAAAAAATTATGATTATTTTTTAATCAAAAGTTATTATTATTGTGTCGAAGAGGTCTCACACCAATAACATAATGACCCCGAGTGTCAAGTGCTTGAAGAATCAATATGTATCCAATTATTTGAAACTCGCAAAATGTATAGTTAAAAATAGCTTGCTCTAAGTTGTACTCTCGTAATTATTATTAAGTTATTATATATTGAATATGTTTGAATACTTGTTAACTTAGAAATTGAAGTCTCTTTTAAGTATATAAATCACTTGACCTTTAAAAATCGAGGACCATATAAACTAACTAACTTTGAAATCAAGAAAAAGATTCTCTACTAAAAATTTCTAATACTCATTTCTTATAAAAAGAATTATATTTTTTCCTTTAAAATACCTTTTTCACTTTAAAAAAATAAATCTCGCGCGCTCATATATATATATATATATATAAACAATGTGATAATGAATTTTTTTTTAAATATTTGATTTAATTATTTTACATTAATTATTCTTAGTTACAATAAATTATTTATAACATTTTAAAATTATAATATTTCAAGATAGCATTTTTAACAATTTCATGGTTATAATTAAAATTATGAAGGAATATTTTTCACAAAATAGTGAGAACCAAATACTTTTCGATTACAAAGAAAATTTTAATGTAATAAAAATATTATGTTATCTTAATTTATTTAATTAATACAATAAATACTATTTATGAATATTTCAAAAGAAATTATTTATAACTAATTAAACAAAATTTAATCATCAATAAAAATTATAATTCTTAAAATTTATAATTTTCTTTAATCATAATTTTGGAGTATAATTCTAATATATTAGCCGTTATACTTATATCCATTGAATTGAAAAATTAAAAATATTTGTGCTAATAATTTGAAGAATCAAAACTTTGGTAACAAAAATGGTTCATGGCATTTTTATTCCTTTAAACATTATAACTGTGTGATTTGTTTCTTCATATTTCAATTGCACAAATTAGGATATATATGTATTATTTAAATGCTTATCTAGGTATTGCGACTACACATTGTTAGTTTGTCAGTTTTTTTTTTTTTTAAATGCTTAACAAATTTTATTTAATTCATGTGTTATCTAATACATATACTAATGTAACTTTATTGCAGTTTTGATCCTTCGTTATTACATGAGTGTAATTAAACTGAATTTTGGAAGATAAAAGTGACCAACGAGAAAATTGAAATAAAATATGAAAAATAAAAAATCAGAACAATAAATAATATTCTTTTAAGTTTGAAAGATTTGAAAATATATTTTAATTTTGAAAATAATTTTTGAAAAAAATACTTATTAAACAAGTTATTTTAAAATGAATAAATAAATAAATAAAATTATTAAGTAATTAGTTTTTTCTTCAAAAAAATATCCTCAATATTTTTCTTGAAAAAAATCAGCCCAAAATCCTAAAATATATGATAAAAAAAGTTGTCACTCTAATCTTGTTAAATTTGAACCGAACTAATAATGCTCCATGTAACACAATATTTGACATTTTGAGTCACAGAGAATTCGTGCGGAAGAATTTAGACTGGTTGGGGTACAGATGGTTACAGAGACATTTAGACTGGTTGGGGTACAGTTGGTTACAGAGACGTGAATATCATTTTCTTTCTTTAACCCACGATGAGACACAGACAAGACCATCAATGATGAAAGAGTAGCTCCATTTAAGTATTTTTTTTAAAAATTTTATTAAATGTTATTGTCATTGAAATCGTAATGTTAATGATGATATACAAGTTTTATACCATTCATAATTTTTAAATTAGTTATTATATAAGTAAACAAATTTATAATAAATAAATAATAATTTACTATTAAATAACATGTACAGTTAATACACCATCATTTTTCTGAAAATTGTATGTTTGTAACTGAAAATCTGAAATCCATATGCCATATACAGATATGCTCCATTTTATTTTTATTAATTAATAGTGAAAATTTGTAACATTAACTTGAAAATGAAAAATCCTATAACAACTTTTGAAGGTTTTTTGTTTGTTTTCAAAATTAAAATGCATTTAATATTTTGTATAAATATATAAATAATAAGTGGAAAAATTTGTTTGAATAATTTATATAATATAAAATGGTATGATTGTGTTTTGAGAAGAGTAGTTTTGGCATTGCAGCAGTGAAAATGAAAGAGAGGCATTGAGTTAGGAATAAGAGTGTTGTGGTGATGGTTGGGGGTTGCGCTACATGACAGGAGAGTGGAGACGTTCCCACTCCCACCACGCCAACATTTACTTCATCTTCAGGCCCACCCAGCTATGTAACAGCTTTCGGCCAAATCCCCCATCGCCACGTGTCCCCACCGAAAAGATATTTCACGTGACCCATCCCACGTCACCACCAGTGGAGCCCACTGCAAAAAACATTCGTCATACTCATTTACCTTTGCCTCCAACCCCTCTCTCATTCAATGCCTTCTCAACCTAACCCGTCGTTTTCAGAGCCACTCTGCTATATAAACACTCACTCTTTCCATTCTCCTCT